CCACTCCCAAAAAGGAAAATATACCACCAAGTGCAATATTTCTTACCTAAAGCTGAATAAATATATCTAATATTTATTAACCCTGATTTCACAGGGGAGTGAACTACTTGGGTTGAAAACTATTTGGTAAAAGCATCCTGGGCCTAGCTACGCAACATTGATGTAGTTCGTACTTAAATGGTGGGAGTGAGCAGAGTTAATGCAGAAAACTCATGCAAACAAACACACTCTAAACGGGACCAGGGACCCTTGTTGCAGAGCAAAAACAACATGCTTCAAGAGATCCACCATCATCCCTGTGCCCAAGAACAACAAGCCCTCATGCTGGAATGACTACCGGACAGTTGCACTGACTTCCTGCACACCACCCTTAGCCACATGAACAAGAAACAGGGTAACTATGTGAGACTGCTGTTTGTTGATTACACTTCAGCGTTTAACACAATAGTGCCCGGCAGACTGTTCACAAAGCTGAGGGATCTAGGACTCAACAGCCGTCTGTGTGCATGGGTGTTTAACTTCCTCACTGGCAGAACTCAGGTGGTGAGGGTGGGTAGGTGTGTCTCCGACGGCATCACCATCAACACAAGAGCGCCACAAGTGTGTGTACTCTCGCCACTGCTCTACTCCCTCTATACTTCAGACTGTATGGCCACTCATGGCTCCAATACCATTGTGACGTTTGCTGATGACACAGTGGTGTTGGGCGCCAACTCCAACAACAGAGACTATAAGCCCATTATCATCAATGGAGTTCCAGTGGAGAGGGTACAGTCCTTCAAGTACCATGGTGTCCACATCTCCTCAGATCTGACATGGTCTGCCCACATTCAGGTCTTGTCCAAAAAGGCTTGGCAGCGCCTGTACCACCTACAACAACTGAGGAAGTTCAGGGTTTCTCAAGGGATCCTCGGGACTTTCTAGGCACTGTGGAGAGAATCCTCATACAGAACATCACGTCCTGTTATGGAACAGCTGTGTCAAGGACATGAAAGCTCCTCAGAGAGTGATCTGTACAGCAGAACGTTGCTGCAGGACTGCTCTCCCCTCCCTACAGGACATTTACACCAGGAGATGCTGGTCCAGAGCAGCTCACATATTGAAGGACCTGTTCCACCCCAGCAATAAAATGTTCCAACTTCTGCAATCAGGCAGAAGGTTCTGCACCATCCGGGCAAGAACAGAGAGGCTCAAGAGGAGCTTCTACCCTCAGGTGGTAGACTAACCTAAAAGTCTGTGGTTTTTGTCCTGGGGTAATACACTAAATCCTATTTCATCTAATCCATACATGGCAGAGTGGTGTGTATGTGTGTGTTAGAAAGAATAAAACAGCTTTATAAGTATGTTTGTGAATCTGCGAATGTGTCTTGCACTAAATGGACCAATAAATTGATCAGAAAGCTCCCAGTGTAGTAGACAAAATAAAGTCCTGTATGCATTTTCATCTGGGTTTCGAAACACATACACACATTTTGGGAATTTAGGTGAGTATACACATGCACAAATGCCATGTAATACTGCTAATAACTTCAGACAGGCCTTGCAAATGCACACAAAATAGTGGAAAATATAATATGTATACACAATACATTTCAGAGAATCATAACCTTTCGAATGAACTTTAAAAAAATAGACTTATCTACTTTATTCATCAAAACATTATCAGATTAGTTTTAAGAAAAAAGGTTAATGCACACAGCTTTGGTGAAATGGATTGGGATTTATATTTTTAGTCATACTACTTCGAGAAGCACTTTTACACTACAGCACACACACACACACACACACACACACACACAATCATTCAGTGCTTCATTCTATGTGCAATCACACACTCAGCGGTTGATGCATCCAGGGGTAGTAGTAGTAAGGAAACTAATACCTTAATCTTTCAATGTATACTCATTGAAAGATTGAGATGTCATGAAAGACCTCTGCAGCCTTGTGTTTTCTGAGGTGACTGTGCTGTTTCATTTATTTTCTATGACTCACCACCGGCGGGTAGACTTGTACAAGTAGCTCCGTTGTGACATGGCTGCTGCAGACATGCATCAGGGTAGAGAATGCAACCCAGTTTCAGCTCTGTCAGTCCCACCACCTCTGCATACTGCGAACGTTTGTTCTGCAATGGGAGCTCATTGTTGTTCAGCATTACAGAGTCCAGGCAACCTTGGAATCCATAAAGCACCCGGGGGTCCTTCTGGAATTCCATGAGGCTACGAGAGTTTGGGGGCTGCACCTGAGAACAACAAGGGTTAGGAATTTTGAGTTAAACTGCTTGACATAGTCTGCAGGTACTCCTGTCAGCCTACATAGTAAAGCTTGTAAAAATAAAATGTATTTATTTTTAAAATTATCCTGTTTTCAAGAATTACCCAAATTACACGAGATGAAACGCCTGAACTATTTAAAAACTAAAAATCAGGTATATACTAATTTGTTTTTATATGTTTATTGATTATAGATCATTGAAAAACCTTCTGGCAAAAACCTGGTGTGGTTAGGAGAGACCATCCCACTTTGGACCTGATGCTCATTTCTAGAAATCTGGCCAATGTTATTAAACCACACAAATGTGACTATCCAGAGTTTCAGCTTCAACTTCCTGTTATCCCCCCAAAACCACATCCACTTAAAGAATGTTCAGTTTCCAAACCAACAAAAACGAACCAAAAATCAGCAAAAACCGATTTAAACATAACATAAAAACCACAAAGGATGAATAATATCATATGCACAGCTTCACCAAAGAGTAAAACAGTGCAATGTGGATTATTAAACATTACATCTCTCTTCTAAGTCCCTGTTAGTACATGAATTAATAACTGACCATCAATTCATTTACTTTGCCTTACAGAAATCTGGTTAAGGCTATGTTAGAATCAAGACCCCCAAGCAAACTAACTGTTAGAGTCCACAGGCTGAGAATGGGGATTGAAAGGTCTCCAGTTTATTAATCAA